GGGGGGGGGTTTATCGTATAAACTTTTCAGACGACGGCCTACATATCTACCATATGTACTGCGAGAGGCAACGCGAGCCAGGGGCTCGTGCAACCTGCCGAGACTCCGTGCGATCGAATGTACGCGCCGCTGCATACGCGACTTTTCACCCCGGGCTTTAGCTCCTTAAAGGCGATCGTTCGATATGCAATGCTGATGCCACCGTCGCGTCGCGTCGACCTCGACGCTTGCACTCGCCTCTCTGCACGCGACTCTCCAAAGTATTTCCTATCTTACGTGACCAACTGCTTGAATACGAGCGCGCTTATCGTTCGCTGACTGTCTTATTAGCGAGAGACCTGATTCAGTAACGCGGCAAGTGAAATGAATAGGCGGGATAATATATGATTTTAGACATTTGCCAGGTGTAAAGATCGATGAAGTCATTATTTAGAAATGATAAGATCAACGCTTGCTATTATACATGAATCTTTAATAAAGCGCGAGTCAAAACCAGTCACGTGCATTAATATATATTTCTGAATATTAGCAGTAAATTTTATATTATTAGATTCTAATGAATATTAATTGCGAGAAATAAATTACTAATCGGAGAAGTCACTGCGATTTTTGATTCGCGATTGCCGACCGGTTTTCTTACTTGCCACAATTTATTAAGGATCTCCTCCTGAGTACAGAAACTTCTGGCTGTGATCTCGAGGGAGCGATAGTATCGAAAGAACACGCAGCCGTCGCGAGCCGTTCCGTATACACAAATTATGCTCATCCATAAGCTATCCGTCGAGAGCAAACCGACCTCTTCTCAACGACATGACTGGTTCTCTCTCCGTATCCGACATACGGCTCGTCTCTTGCTAACGAGAAGAGCCACCTTGATGTCATAAGAAATTCCGATCCCGTGATTACGCCGTCCCGGCTCGTTCGTCCGTCCGTTGCTCGTTGCTTTTCCCCTGAATGCGCGCCGTAATATTCCTTCCGATCCGGAATCTCAATCAAACGCGGCGCGACACCACCACGAGCACGGTTGCAGAGAAAAACAAAATAGAGACAGGCCGGCCTGACGAGCGGCGATATCGCGCTTTTATCGCGATCGACACGGATCGTT